TGTTTCTTTGGTCACTGCTGAGCTGGGGGTGCTCTGCTTAGGAATGATGAGCTGGGGGTGCTGAGCTGGGGATCACTGCTGACGTGGTGTTGCTGAGCTGGGGGTCACTGCTGAGCTGGGGGTGTTAAGTAGGTGGTCACCGCTACCCTGTGACGTGGTCAGGGGTGGGCCTGGAACAAGTGGTCACCGAGCTGGGGGATGCCAGGCCAGCTGGGGCCACCGGGTGGGCACTGCACATGGGCTCTTCCTGTTCTGGGCCTGAGGCAGCCCGGGAAGAGGTCGCTTGGCTCATTTTATGAACTCTGAGATCTCTTAGGATCCTGGACTTCAAGGTTCCTGGGTAGCTCTGGCGTTCCAGTGGCCAAGAAGGCCACCCCTGACCCTTTTCACTGTGTTCTGAGATAGGGCCTTGCTAAGTCACTAAGGTAGCCGGGCCGGGTTCCATCTTTCACTCCTCCTGCCTGAGCCTCCCGGGGTGCTGGAAGGCACGAGTCAGGGCCTCCTTTAAGAACAGAGCAAGTTAACCGAGCCAGCGCTTCGATCAGCCGCCGGCAGGGGACAACATTGCTCCACGGATGCCCGAGGCGCCCTCCGGCGGAAGGCGGGGCGAACACAGGAGAAGCCCACAGTCTCAGCCCCAGACTCCACGGTCCCTGCGATTCCTGGGGGGCCTGAACCCGGCTCTCGTCGCCTCGGCCTGGCGACCCCACTCTGGGCCCTGACCCCGAGGGGGCGGAGGGCTGCGGATGTGTGTGCCTTGAAGAAATCTGCAGGGTCGTGTGGTTCATGGTGGTGAACAGCAGGAAAGCCTGTTCAACAGCAGGTGACCGCTGAGGGCCAGTGTGACAGGGTCACGGGGAAGAGCCTGGCTCTCACGCCCGGTTCTCAGGAAGCAACTCCATTCAAATGCTCACCGACTGTCTACTAGATATGCCCGCCATTGTTCTAGGTACTGGAAATAAAATCTGTCTTAAGATAAATGTTCCTCTCCTTACCCAGCTTGCTACCTTTTACCGGAGGCAACAAAGACGCTAAAAATAGGTGAATTTTCCCTGGAAAGGTGACACTCGGTTGTATCCCAGCATTCAGGAAGCTGAGGCAGGCAGATTCCCCTGCATTCAAGGCCAGTCTTGAGCTACACAATGAGTTCAAAGCCAGCCTGGTGTGAGTCTGGAGGGATGCTGCTTGCAGTGTCACTGGTGTGGCTTCTCAAGATCCCAGAGGGCCGTGTCTCCGGCTTGGGGGAAAGGTGAGGGAGAGCAGAGTCCTTCTAGTCCTGAGCTTCTGACCCTGTCTGCCCGTGAGGAGCTCAAGAGGGGCCCTGGGCCTCCTTCGTGCTGGGACTCTGTGTGCAGGGAACAGGTGAGGATGGCCACGGGCCCCGGACACCCCTGCCCTCCTTGGGGGCTCCAGGGGACTGGCGAAGTCCAGGGCGGGCTCTTTAAAGCCTCCTCTCAGCTTTCTGTTCGGTTTTAGACACAAGTTCTCACCCTGAAGCCCAGGCTGGCCCTGAACTCACAGCATAGCCAAAACCAGTTTGTAAACCGTTGAGGCCCTGAGAGCCTCAGTTGTCCACGCTGGGCTTAAACTCGCTGCCCTCCTGCTCCAGCCTCCCCGATCGCTGGGGTCATGGGTGTGTGCCGCCACACCTGGCTCCTCATGCTCATCCTGGCACTTGAGCCCAGCTGGACCCCGCCCCGTGATGTCCTGTCTGCACATCTTTGAGCTGCTGAGGGGTTCCCTGAGTGAGGCCAAACTGGGGTACCTGTGGTGGGGACCCAGGGCCTTGTCACCACTGTGTGTCCTCGGGTGGCTGGGCCACCCCAAGCCTTAGGGGTCATAAGGGCAGAGTGGGGATAAGTGCCCTGAGGCCTTGTGGGGTCACCTGCAGGGTGGCCTGTGCCCTACAGCAAAGCCCGTCCCACAATGCCCCTGGGAGGCTTCCGGGAAGTCGAGTCTCGTGTCCCAAGCTGTGCCTTCTCCCAAGGGCCCCCAAGGCAAGCACAGGCCATCCCCTTCCCTGGTCACCACAAACCCTGCTCTGCAGCCTTGTGAATGGATGCTCAGGAGCATCCATGGGTGGAGCACAGGGTTCTAGGGGAGGCTAGGGGCCCGCCAGGACTCTTCCAGCTGCCTCACTGGCCCTTGGCTTCCCCAGGGCCCTGGGGTCCCTCCCACAGAGCTGCATCTGGGACCGAGGTGGCATGGCATCCCCATCCCGGCTCTGCTGCCCCTCCCAGCCTGATTCTGGGGCTCCAGGCACAGTTGGCTGGGCCCCTCATTCTGCCCAGGTCTGGGAGTGCAGGATGGGGACAGTAGAGAAGCCCATGGGCCTGGTGGCAGGGGGCAGGCAGCCTCTGGAGGCTGGGCAGTGATGGCCAAATGTGGCTTCAAGCACCGGGAGGCAGAGGGGAGCTTGTCCCATGTGCCCAGGGGCCCCGGAGGGAGGGCCAGGCCTCGCTGGTTGGGGGAGCAGGGGGACTCTTGATGCCACATGACTGTCCCTGTGGCTCTGCTGGATGTCCCTAAGCCCCGATTTTGGTAGCTAAGGCTGCTTTGGGCAGGACAGGCTGTCTCCCTGCCAGCGCTGGGTCTGGGTGTGTGTGCCGGTTTACTTGCTCTTGGCAGGGATGGGACTGACCAGGGCCTTCACACGGGCTGCAGCCATTCCTAAGCTTTTAAATGTTTTATTTGGAGCCAGGGTCTCACTCGGTCACCAAGCTGGGCTTAAGCTGCAGTCTTCCTGCCTCAGCCTCCCAGAGTGGTTCCCGCCACTGGGGCCAGGACTGCTTGGTTCTAAGCATCCTGAACACCTGTGCCCAATCCGAGACAGGGGTGGGCTCCCCAGAAGGCCCTGGCCTGGGGGCTCAGTGAGCTGGCTTAGAGGTCACCTGGGCCCTGCATCCCCACCGTCCAGAAACAAAGGTGCTGGCCGAGAAATTTAAACAGGTAAACTGCTGAAGCGCCCCACAGGGGCTGGAGAGGCTGGGTAAACCAAGGGCCGGCCCTTGCTCACCACTTCGGAGGGCTGGGCAGGTTGCACCTTTCCCAGCCTCAGGCTTCCGCACTGTTGAGTGGGCGCACACATCCCCATAGACTGTACTCTGAAGTTTCCGGCCACAGTCCCTTTAGGGGTGAGAGCTTTTGAAGCCCCAGTGATTATCAGAGGTTCAGGAGGCTGGGTCAGTGCACCTGGAAGCTGGTGGTCCCCAGGAGAGGTGGCAGGAAGCCTAGACCTATCAAAGGTCTCCCTTGAACCCCGTGGACTCTGGACAGGAGCGGGACGTAGACCCCCCAGATGGCCAGCTAAGAAGGTCCTAGAGTCAGCACTTTCAGGTATAGACACTCACCTCCTGGGGGCTACAGGGGAGGAGAGCCCAGGCTCCCCCGACCTTGTCACCTACTCCAGACAGGCCAGGAGCCATGCCCAGATGGGGTGCATCTGCTTCCTACTTGGAAGGGGCCTTGAGGCTCGGCCCCCACTAATTATCTGCCTCTGCTTCCCAGCCGGGGGACCCTCTGCCACTCTGCCTCCTGCCTGGGAACCCAGGTGGGCGGAGGAGTGGACTGGGCCTGTCCCACCACTGGAGCCTCTGACAAAGGCCAACTCCTTCTTTCCCCCCAGATCTGGGGATTGAACTCAAGACCTTTGCTGGAGTTGAAGTCTTTATTTTCTATTTTGAAACGAAATCTCACCAAGTTGCCAAGTTGCCCAGGTTGGGCTCCAACTTGAGGTCTTCCTGGCTCAGCCTCTCAGGGTGCCGGGTGAGGACAGCTTTGTTGAGGCCCTGCCCCAGGGCAGGACCTTTCCTGGCCCACCTCATCCCTGTGATACCTCTCTGGTCCACAGGTCCCCTCAGCTCTGCAGCCAGGATTCAACTGGGCTGGGCTCCGTGGGGTCAGCAGGCAGCCCCGCGCTCTCCCCAGCCTCCCCCGTTCCTCCTGGACACAGTGCGCACACAGACCCTGTCCCCCTTCTCCTCCAGCCTCTGCTCACCCGCAGAGCCCGGCGCCCTCGCCCTCCTCCCTCGGGAACCGCATCTAGCCTGTGGAACCGTCACCGCCTCCAGGAAGCCGCCCTGCGCTTCCCGCAGGGAGGGCCTGGCAAGGGGCCCAGCTCACTCAGGGTCCGGGGCTGGGCGCGCGGGTCCAGGCAGGCCGAGCCTTTCCGGGGGCCCTCGCGCCCCCGCCCCCACACTCCCCGGCCCGGCCCCGCGGTCTCCCCAAAGCCGTGGGTGTGCCCGGGGAGCCCCGTCCGGCCGCCCCTGGCTCCGGGTGCCGTGCGCCCAGGCCCCGACGATGGAGCCCCCGGAGGTGGCGCCACAGCGCGCTCCTGGCCGGGCCGGCCCCGCGGGGCCGGCGTCTCAGAGCGCCCGGCCGGCCGCTTGGGAGGCTCCTCACGTCCAGGCCCGCGGTCACGGCCGCGCCGGCTTCCGGCCATGAATTGGGCTTCAGAGTCCGCGGCTCCCCCGCTCGGCCGAGCGCGCCGCCCGCGGGAGGGGGATGGGCTCGGGTCCCCGCGTCGGCCGCCCGGGTTCGAGCCCGCTCGGCGCCCCGCCCCGTCGCCCTCCGGGCCGCCCGGGCCGGGTTCGGCCGAGAGCACTCGGGGCGCCCCGACACCCCGAGGGTGCGCGCGGACGTCCCTCCGCCCGCCCGTCCCCCGCCGCGACCCCGCAGCCCTCCAGCCCCGGCGCGCGCCGCCCCCGAGCGTCCCCCGGGCCGGGCGCGGCGGCCCCGAGCCCCTGCGAGCCGAGCGGCGGGCGGCGCGCGCCGGGGCTGAGCTCCGCAGTCACGTGGTGCGGCGGGCGCGGGGAGGCGGCGCGCGGGCGGGGAGCGGGGGAGGGGAGGGGGCGTCCTCCGCAGTTCGCTCCGCGCCGGGCTCAGACGCACCGCGAGCCCGGCCGCCGCCGCCGTCGCCCCCGAGCCGCCCCCGCCGCGCCGGCCTGCGCTCGGGCCGCGGGCGCCCCCGGAGCCGGCGCGGGAGCCGAGCGCGCGGGGCTGGGCTGGGCTGCGCTGCGCCGGGGCGGGCGCAGGGCGCGCGGGGGAGACGCACGGTGGGCTCGGTTCTCCCAGGAGCGGCCCGGGGCTGCACCGGGACCGGCGCCTGCCCGCTCCGCGCTGCCCTCGGCCTCGCCCCGGGCCCGGGCGGATGAACCGCGCGCCCGGGGGACATGGAAGCGCTGACGCTGTGGCTTCTCCCCTGGATCTGCCAGTGCGTTACGGTGCGGGCCGACTCCATCATCCACATCGGTGAGCGCGGCGGGCGGCCAGGCTGGGACCGGGGGAGGGCCGAGCAGACCGGGGACGCGTGGCGAGCAAACTTGGCGGCTCCCCTGGCTGAGGGGCCCGGCGGGCGGTGCTTCCGAAGGGCCGTGTCGCGCCGCCCCGCGGAGGAGCCGTGCACGGGCCGCGCCGCGCTCCCCGGGGCGCCCAGGTCCGCGCGGGGCCCCGCGGCCTCTGCCTACACTCGGGCCCGCGGTGCGGGGGACGCCGTGTTGGGGGCGCGTGGAGACCCGCGCCAGGCTAGGAGTCTTTGGGCACAGCTCGGAGGGGCCGGGGCCGCGGCCCGGGGGAGGGGGCACACGGGCCCGGGGGCTCTCCAAGTTGGCCGAGCAAGATTGGAGAGGCCGGCCCGGAGCCGAGCGTGGCCGCGGACGGGTGTTGTCAGCGTATGTCTCTGCGTGTGCACCTGGCTCCGTGGCGGTGTCACTGCGAGAGGGCGTTGGGGAGTGCGGGGCCGGGCAAACGTGTGTCGGGCGCGCGGCGCCACCAGCCTGTTAGAGTGGCCGCGGCGTCTGCCTGTGCCCGGCGGTGTCCGCGCGGCTGTGTGTGTACCGAGGGGTGGAGGCTGCAGCCCTGTCCTGGACAGCCGTGGAGTTAGGCGGGTTCCAGTCCCTGGAGCCAGATTGCCAGCCAGGGGGTGGGGGGTCGAGGGAAGAGGCCAGGTGCTGGAGAGGGGCGCGGAGTGCGAGGAGGCAGACGGCGGAGAGGACCGAGGGAAGGGACGCGGAGCCGCGGGTGGGAGTCGGGATCAGCGCTGCCGGAATCCCCGGACGCCGGGCCACGTTCCGGGGCGACGCGGCCGCTGTGGGGGAGCCCTTGCGCAGTGGCCTTTCCGGAAGTTGGGAAAGACCGGCGGGCCCGGAGAAGCTGGGGGGCTGGGAGGCACGAGGAGGAGGCGGGGGTGACGGCACAGCGGCGCGGGGCGGCGCGGGTCCCATGGTGAGCAGTGTGGTTCTGGTGTCGCGAGGAGCCGAGGAGCTGGGCCTCTTTCCCTCTGCCCAGCAAGCAGCTCCAGGGACGTGGAGCCAAGCCGTGGGACCTCCGAGACCCTGCGGTGGGTGAGGCGGGGACTCCGCGGCTGTCCGGGTACAGGTCGGCTCCAGCGAGGCGCACCCGTCCCCACTGCGGGCACAGAGATGGCAGAAGCAGCGCGCGGTGCTGGCTCCAGGGCGCCCCAGAGGCTCCTCGCACCAGCCGCCACTTCCGGACGCTCAGCCGCCTGAGCTCGAGCTGAGAGTGCAGGGGGCTGTGGGACGGTCCCCGCCCCCACTTCCTCCACCACCCCCGCAGGAAGAGCACGCTGGAGGGTAGGAATCCAGGGTGCCAGGCCCCGTGCCCGCGGAAGCCTCCTGTGTTAGGCGCCCGCTGTGGTCACCGCGTGCACCTCCCTCAGCCGGGCACACGCGGCAAAGGAAGCATCTTGCACCTGGGGCTCAGACTGGGGGACACGGCCCTCCCCGGAACTTTCTGGTTTCTGGGATGGGTCTTAGGAAACCATGTTAGGGGCCTGTGGCAGCCGCCCCGGCTTGGCACAGTCCCTCGAGTTGGGCATGGCGGGTACATGTGTTGCTTTGGGTGTGAGCCGTGCGTGTGACCTGGTGGCTGCACCTGGGCACGCCTGATTCATGTCAATGATGTGCACCTGTGTGCAGGGCCGGGGACATTTGTGCGGGTTTTGGGGGGATAGCCTTAAAGGCGATCCCAGCCCAGATCTCCTCTACCTGGTGGCCTGACCGACCAGAGGGGAGGAGGCGGGTCCTCTCCAGGCCCAGCCTTGACCCCTCTACTCCTCCAGGTGCCATCTTTGAGGAGAACGCAGCCAAGGACGACAGGGTGTTCCAGCTGGCCGTGTCCGACCTGAGTCTCAACGATGACATCCTGCAGAGTGAGAAGATCACCTATTCCATCAAGGTCATCGAGGCCAACAATCCGTTCCAGGCCGTGCAGGAAGGTGAGCGAAGGCGCGGCCCAGGGCCGGCAGAGCTCTCCGTGTGCCCGGCGGCCTAGGGCCGCGTGTCGGCAGCAGAGGCTCCCTGAGCCCAGAGGCAGCGAGCTAGCGGGGAGCTGGGGAGGCTGCGCGCATCGCCTGGCGCACGTTGCTCCTTCCCCGGGCAGGCGCGGGCTGGCGGCTCTGTCGGCTTTGTTTCTCGCGTGTTTGTGGGTGGGCGTGTCTGCGCGCAGAGACCTCTGAGGCTCGGCCCTCCCCGCGCTCTGGGGCCCAGGGTCTTTCGTGCCTGGGGCCCCAGGCGGCCGAGCCAGCCCTGTGCAGCTTCTCCTTTTGCAGCCCAGTGAGTTTCTTGGCTCTGGATCGTGCCGTTGTGCCTCGGATCCAGGTCTCTGCCGCGATTCTCCTTAGGGGTGGGAGCAGCCGGTTTCTCTGCCACCGCCTGGGCCGGAGGTGGGCGCTGTTTGCCCAGGAAAAAAGTGGAGCTGGGCCAGGGCAGCTGCAGGGAATCCTGGCTGGTGCTGGGTTGCCTCCTCCTTTAGTCTCTGTCAGCTAGGCTTGCAGCAGGGCCAACAGGTGTGCAGAAGCCACCCCCTCTGCTCTGCTCTCCCCTCCCCTCCCCTCCCCTCCCCTCCCCTTCTCTCCCCTTCCCTCCCCTTCCCTCTCCTCTCGGTTCCCCTCCTTCCAGGCTCTCTGCCTGCATGCCAGGTCCTCCTGGCAGTCCTGCCTCACGCTTAGGGATCAGGGCTCTGGGCTCTCTCTGGCCCCCACGCCAGGCCAGCCCTGCAACCTGTGCTCCGGAGTCTGAGGCTGGATCTGCTCTGCTGGAGGAGCAGTGTGCAGGGGCCCCTTCCTGAGAGAGGAGTGGCAGGCAGGGGTGGAGGGCTCCCCCAAGCAGAGTCCTCCGCTGCCTAGGGCTGCCCCCAGCTCCTGCTCTGCTGGGACCCTCTCAGAGGAGGTGACTCAGCGATGGATACAGTCCAGAGGGTCATGGTGGTGCAGGGCTTCCTTGGAAGAGAGGCCATCTGGGACGTCCTACTCCTAGCTGAGGAGGAGGAGGAGCTGGAGGCCATCTGCGGGTTGGGGACTGCCTAGTTCTGGAGCCCAAAGGTCTGAGAGGTCTTGGGAAGGGTTGTGCAGACTGGGAGTTCCAGATGGTGTTTTTAGGGTAGCGATGACTGGAGTGAGGCCAGTGTCGCCTGTGGTGGGGACTGCTTCTTCCAACCTTGACAGCTGTCTTGTTGTCTGGTGTCTGCTGACATGCAGGGAGGAGGAGGAGGCCCTGCCTTTCCCTGGTCACATCCCCCGGCCTGAACTCTCTGTCCCTTGGTACCCCCTGTCCCTGGGCTTCCTTTGTGTGTGTGTGTGTAGGGGTCCCTGCCTGAGGTCCCATTGCCTGGGTGCCTTCCACTGACCTGCTCCTCTGAGGGCCAAAGTCTGTGCTCATCGGTGCCCATCAGGCCCCACCTGCAGTTCCCCAGGACCACAGGTGCTGCTGTCCTGCCTTGGGACAGCAAGGTACAGTGGGTGTGCGTTCACGGTGGCCCCGAGCTTGGGCTGTTGTGTAAAATATGAGCTTTAAGCTGTCAGTTAATGAAGCAACTCAATCCTTCAGGACAGACTTGGCAAAACACAGCTCTGTGCCCTGAACCCCAAATGCTTGCTCGTCCTGGTGATAAAGGCTCCAACCAGGGGTCTCTTTTGGTTGCGCACTTGCTTTCTGGATCTCAGTTTCTCTGTTGGGATTCCTGGAGAAATGCCCTCGTCTGTCTCCAGGAGTGGCAGCTTGGCCTGCTCTCCCAAGAGGAGTGTGAGTTTCTACATGCCTGGCCGTCGTGTGGGTCGTGGTGCCATCACCAGTGCAGGGTGCAGGCTGGAGAAAGCTGCAGGGGCACAGGTCTGCATTGTCCCCTGACCATGTGTGACCTTTGGGCACCTCTGGGGTGTGAGTGGACCCAGCCCCCAGGCCTGTGCACACAGAGCAGAGCAGTGTGTGCCTCCTCCTCCTCCCCATCTTTCTCCTCCTCCTCCTCCCCTGGGGCTAGTTGAGCAGGTATTGGCTGGCTGCTGCCTGCCTAGGCTGTGTTCTGTGGGGTGCTGGTCCACCTGCTGGCCTGACCTCTGCCTGGTGGCTGCCTTGTCTCTTTTTCAAGGCCTGGATGTTCATTGTCTCATTCGATGGCAGACTTGGTGTTGGGGAGTGGCCGGCTTGGCCTCTGGCCTGGAGGAGCTGGGGCCCCTGGAATTGCAGTGTCACAGCCTGTTTGGGCCTGAGAATCAGCAATGAGAAGAGCTTGGTCTCTGGGGCCCAGAGGGCCCTCTCTGAGATCCTGCTGCCTGGGGGTACCACGGGGTGGGGAGCCTTGGCTCTGCTCTGAGCTCTGGTTTTCACATCTGTTAAAGGGAACGAGGTAACCTGGGATTATGGGGAGGATTAAACGAGGGGAGACGTGCATAAATCGCCTGCTCGGGGCCCTGGCACGTGCTCGGTGAGCCCTGGTTCCTTCCCTGGTCCCTGGCCCAGCCATGGACCCCGTCAGCATCTCCCAGGCTGTTGGTGTTTCCAGCCACTGTGATGTGTGCCGCTTTGTAAGGGGCGAATCCCTTGAGAGAGGCCCCTAGGTGACCTTGTCGTTTCCAGCTTTTCCTCATTTCTGTCCAATTAGAAGAGAGATGTATTGCTGTGATTGGCTTGAGTTGCTTTAAATATGTAGAAAGGAAAGAGAGCAGTGCTCCTTAGGTAAAGACGGGAGGGTGCAGGGAAGCACAGCCTCCCTCCTGCTGCACTTGTGAGCGCACAGGGTCCTGTTCTGATGTTTGTTTCCTGCTTTCTGTTCCTTTGCCATGTTGTTGGCTCTTCCCGAATCCACCGTGAACATTGAAACATCACTCTTACTGGCTGCCTGTGTTTTCCAATGAGCAGTGTTTTAAAGAAGTGGAATCATTTATGCTGATCTGTAAGAATGAACTATTCATGAGGAAAAGGGAACCTCCTGGCCCTGAGAGTTATACCTGTAATTTCTTTCTTTCTTTCATTTTTTTTTCCCCTCAAGACAAGGTCTTGCTATGTAGTTCAGGCTGGCCTTGAATTCACTGATGTAGCCCAGGCTCGCCTCCACTTCCTGCTGACCCTCCTGCTTCAGCCTCCCTAGTGATGCCATTACAGACATGTATTGCCGTGCTCAGTTTATACGCGTCACTTCTTCAGGCTGATTTTGTAAAAGCTGCTTCCAGACACTGCCTTTTAGGACACTTGGTCAAGCCATGTGAAAAGCCAGATCGCAGTTAATGTGTGCTTGATGAGGATTTAAAGTCAGTAAATAACAACACAGCAGGACCTTGTAATCTGTAAAATGTTCCCGAGGTTTAGCTGGCAAAGTCCGAGCTACCAGTCAGTATAAAAATTGGTCTCCCAGATACAAGAAGAGGTATTAATTTGTTAAAAAAGCCTCACAGTGTTGAAAGTGCCACTCGAGTGCAGTGTTACACAGATGTCCAAAGGATGGGCTGGACGGTGCCCGCCCTTGCTGTGGTCTTGCCTGAGGTGCACTGCCTGGCAAGCTGTGGGTCCCTGTGCCACCCACAGTTTGGAAGGGGCAGCTGGGGAGGGGGCAGAAGACAGGACGCATGAGAGCCAGGTCCTTTGGTTTCCGAGGAGAGGGTTTGTCCTTGCCATGTCGGTACAGCTGGGTTAGTGTCCTCTTGATTCATTGGTTCAGACCACAGAATTGTGTGGTGTTGCATTCTGCAGGCGGGAAGCCTGACGTGGGTCTCCCTGGCCAACTCAAGCTGGACAGGGCCAGTTCTGGGGAGCCCAGGAGGGAGGAGGCCCCTTCCAGCTTCCGGGTGTTCATGTGGCCCTCTGTCTCCCAGACCTGAGAGGTGGCTCGGGTCTCCTGCTTCTCTGCCTGCTCCCCCTGCTGCTCTTCTGCCTTTGTCCCTGGTCCAGGAACCCTGGTGAACCCCCACCCTGCCCCATAATCCAGGGTGACCCTGCTATTTGAGGGTTGGCTCATTTGCAGGCTGACTTGTGTCTGCAGCCTGAACCCCCCTGTGCCGCGTAGCGGGTGCTTTCTCAGTTGCAGGCCATGGCTCGTGGGTGTCTGTGGTCCTTTATCCTGCTGCCGGGCTGACCCACTCTCCTGTGCCCTCTGTGGCAGGGCCCGTTATCCCCATAGGTGTTCTCTTTGCTTCTGTTGTTGTTGGCACATTGGCTGTGCCATTTGCTGGGCGGTGTCCCCTGTGTTTGCCAGGCAGGCTGGCAGAACCTGGCACCCATCATACCTACCTTTCCCTAGGCCTGCCGGGTCTCCCATCCTCCCCGTGTTCTTTGGTGACCCAGGACTTCCCTCCTAGCCCATGGCCTGCTGCTGGTGACCCATCAGGCTGATGAAGCTGTGTGCATGGCCCCTGCTGTGGCATGGCTGGGCCCTGGAGCTGCCATCTGGAGCGGCTGTGGTGCACGCATGGGTGACTACAGGCACACATGCACACTTCGTTGAAGGCTTGGGCTGCCCGTCTGGGAGGCGGGTGGGGTACCCGGCCAGAGATACATGGGCTCCTCACAAGGGGTGTGCAGGTCCGAGGCCGTGGGCCTGTGGGACACTGGGTCCCCCTGCTGCTCGGCACTGACACAGCACCCATCCCTGCTGCCACCCGGAGCAGGCTGCTTCGGCAGCTGGCAGTGAAGGTCATACCTTGGCACCTTCAGCCAGCTCGTTGTGGGCGTGCGATCTCCCCAGGTTCTTGGAACTGTTTGTGTGGAGAATTTGGTCACAGTGGGGGAGGCCAGCACAGGTCTCCAGCAGATGCTGTCACCTAACAAGCCAGCGGGCTGTGTCTGCATGGCTTCTCCTCAAACCTTCCAGGTCCAGGGCCATCCTCAGTGGGCTTCTGCTCAGACTCAGACTTGCTCCCAAGGCCCTGTGTGTTTGTCTCTGCACTTTGTTTTCGGTACTGGGTCTTGAATTGGGGACTTTGTGCCTGCCAGGGTGGCACTTGTGCTG